TTTGTTGCAATTCATTGATGGAGCTCCAGGTTTTCTTCACAGGTTAGTATTTCATCAAACATGGCACATCTTTGTCATTCATCATGAGATATGAGGCATATCTCACCGTGTGCAGTGCACTTATGTCAGCTTCTATCTGGGAGCTGAATCAGTGAGCGCGCACACACATGCACGCACACACACATGCTCACATACACACACACTGTTTCATTCTTAAAATTCTGTTAAATTATGTTCGGAGGTTAGAACAGATTGATGGCATGTCCAGTCATTTCAATGGAAAAAGATGATTTGAGATATGAATGTTTTGAGTTCCAAGCATGGCCATGAAAATAAACTCATATTTCAAGGCACCATTATAATCCTAGGTCACCATGCAATGACAGAGATACACTTGTCCTTCGTGGACTGTCACATGGTTATTATAAATGCCAACAATTACATATTGCGGTTTCAGTGTAGCAAAAACAAATGCAAATTCATCTTGATCCTTGCGTGCATGATGGCCACTTTCATCTCACTGCAGCACTTCATCCTCTCTGATCACAACCAGACTGAGACTGATGAGACAAGAATGCCCTCGATGGGCTTTGTCTCATGGCCCACTCAGCCTCTTTATGGTGGCATGAAGAGGAGGGGGGGCAAACCGGGACAGCGAGCTTGTTAGATGATCAATTTTCTCAACACCACCACCTGACTTGAGTCTGGATCGAAGCTTAAAGAACGACGTCACTCACCAGACACAAACACACACACTATTGTTTTTCACTCACGATCCCGCATTCCCGTGACAAATGCAGTTGAACGCAGTCGTGATGGCAAGGCAAGACAAACGTGCACTGACTGCGCATGGTGAGTAGGGAAGCCAGTGACAGCCTGACCTGGGGCGGGGTCCTCTGTCACCACGGCAACGGCTGTCATGGGCCATATGCATCCCTGCTGCATCCCGCCCATGTCATCAATTGATCTGATGACAGAGTTGGAATACGATTGGTGGAGACAACTCTCCCATTCTCTTGTCCCTTCCTCTTTTCTGTGTGTGTGTGTGTGTGTGTGTGTGTGTGTGTGTGTGTGTGTGTGTGTGTGTGTGTGTGTGTGTTTTACTCTGTGTTCCAGGTGTACGACTGCCAAGCCGACAGAAGGCGTTGCTGACATTGCTAGTAGTGCTCCATTTGGCACACACATTGTATTTTTAAGAGTCATACTGTGTATTCCTTTTCCGATGTAAAAATGATCGACACTTTTCAAAAACCGCTAAAAACCTTTACAGTCCCTGGAAATAATATGAAGCAAATCTTTCCAGATATCTTACAGTGTTTACTCCGTTTTGAGCATCGGGGTGACTTAAAGCAGGCGTTGGGCGTCACCTCCTGCCAACTGTTGTCATTGTAATGCGGGCTTGTCACTGAGCAAGTCTGCAAAGGTGCCAATTAGCATGTAAGGTCACGCATGGACACATTTTTAACCATTTCCTCTGGCTTAACCTCTTTTTTATCACCCCCTCTTCAACATGTATCTCTTTATTCATCTCTTTCACTCTCTCGTGATATCAACTCGTTTTTCTTCTGCAGTTTCAACTCTAAAAACACACTTTGAAGGCTTGTCTGCATTTCCTTTTATACCTCATGCCCCTCTGCCCCGCTCGCCATCTGTGAAATATACAGGACCTCATAAAGCACTGAGGCATCTTTAGAGAAGGAATAGTTGCCCCCAGTGATGATCCGGCGAGCAAAAGCTTCTGTTGACACAAATATCGTAGTGTGAGTCAGGGGTTAGCACTAAGAGAATGTGCTTTATGTGTCACTCACGCATGCAGGAATATAAAAATCTACTACATGGCTTAATCAGGCAGGGATTTTCCCTGCATGAGTCACACATAAATCCTTCAATGAAACAAGTTTTAGTTCAGATGACGTCGCCCACAATGGCAACTGGCCTTTCTTGTAAAAGACGGTTTTTAACATCTTTTAGTCTTTGCTACACATTTCTTGCTTTGATTTTTTTTTTCTTGCCATTTGTTAGTTTTAAAACTTGTGCATATTTAGCTTTAAACTGTGCGTTTTTATCCTGGATCTCTTAATTCTTATTGTAAAGAGTCATTGAGTACTATAAAAAGCGCTTTCAAATACAGTAAAATGGATTATTATTTATTATTTTTACCCTACAAAAGAATTGCTAGTTAGTACAAGTAAAATTCAACAGTTTGCATGCTTTTTTTAAATTAGCGAAAACATTATGGAAGGATATATTCATTTCATAGCTTTCATTAATAATTTCCATTTTTCAAAATAACCACCATCTCATATTTCATATTTCCACTAGTGACAACTTTTCCGTACAAATCCCATTAAATATAGGAACAAGTCTCTCTCTCTCTCTCTCTCTCTCTCTCTCTCTCTCTCTCTCTCTCAAAAAAAAAAAAAAAATGGCAGTCAATTAAATGTCGTGTACGTGCGCGCTTGTTTAAGAGACTCTGCACCTAATTACTAGCTCACTGTCAGCCCTGTCTGCTCGCCTAATATCATCAGCGTAGTCATTTGGTGTATAATGAGGCTTTGCACCTCTTCCAGTACACGTGACATGCATACGTGTACTGGAATGGAGGGAGAGGCGAGGGATAGAACATTCACATGGCTACGATTCTGTAACTCTTGTTCCCGCATTGACCATTTGGCCAAAGATCTAGCAAGCCTCTTCGTGGAAATGAATGTTAATAAAAGAAGACCTGGATGATGATATCATCTCCAAGTCCCCCAAATAGTTGATTAACTCAAACCCACGCTATGCAAAAATGTCTTGCCGTATTTCTGCCAGGTAACGGCCAGAATGTACCCCACCAATATGGCAGTGAATTAATTTTCATGTGCAAGCGGATGCAAACGCAAATATGCATGCAGTGACCGGCTCGCTCTTCGGGGCGGAAACGTTCCAGGCTTACCAGAAATAAATGAAAATATGCGATATAGAGAGACCAAATTATTTTGGTAATAGTTTTACCATTCCCACGTGCTTGAAACACATTTAAACGTGATAAAACGTACTTAATAAACACATCACTAAACACGCACAAATTACGAGCAGAAAATGGACAGTATGTACAGTTTTGTCGGAGAGGGTCTGTGTTTTCATATGAGCCTGAAAGAGGCGGGGCTTATAGGGTTAGCTTGCGAGAGGAAGGTTCTTTTAACTTTCAATGAACGGTTGAAAAGCGCATCAGCAACTCTCCTTTCCCACACGCAAGGTTATTATAGGAAGCATAGTGTACTATCAAATCCAATTATGGAAAAAAAAAAATCTATAAAATATAGATCAATGCTAGGTTACAAATACAGTATTATATTTTAAAATAAAATTACCCAAATTCAGCCCTTCTTCTCCGGTCCTTATTTTGAAGAAAATATTGACTGTATATCGATACAGACTGTTATGAAATACTTTTATTGCGAAACAATTTTCAACCACATCGCGCAGCCCAAATACATCAATTAATTGATATTTAATCTTTCACACAGAAAATCAAGGCCAATATGCATCCTGAGTATAACAAATACAAAATGCACATCAAAATTAAAACAAAGCTTTTGGATGGAAGGATTTAGGCAAATCATGTGCGCAAGAGGATTCTTAATAAGTGCTGCTGATCTACATGCATAGCAAGTCTGATTACAACACACGTCAAACCTTGGGAGAGCCTCTGTGGTTTTACTCCTTTCCCCCGTTTGTGCCCGTGCACATTAGAATAATCCATTAACAACTGCTTGTCTCACTGTTTTAATTAAGCTTCTAATTCTGGACCGACAGTAACTTCTCCTCATGCCATGTCAATTGATCAACAGGCTACAGAGAGCCTCGCCACCCTCCTCATTGTCATCTCCCCTCCGACCTCGCATCCTTCCTCTCTCCTGCAGCGACAAGAGCATCCTTGAGCCCAAGCCTCAATTGGACTCATCAATAATGGAAGACGCCGGAATCATATAGAATTCTCTAAGAACGCCGCCAGATTCTCATCACACTTTATTCAAACTGTTGAATATTTCATTCGTGTGTGCAAATATGCGTGTGTGTGTGTGTATGCACGAGGCCAATATGCTTCTTCATTAGGCACCTTCTTTGATACCTGAAAGCTCACCTTCTCATTGCTACTATGTGCTACCATGCTCTTATGTGTGGATGGTTTGCAGAGTATAACCACTTCACAGCTCCGTGCAGCTCTGGAAACACACCAAGCTTGAATTACCAGACACTTCGTGGTGTGCATCTCTCCTTTATGAGGTGTGCATATCTCGATACACCAGGTGTGTTACAATTCAAGTACAGTACCTTCTAGAGTGGAACAATTCCATTTGGTTTGATTCAGTGGGATTACGATTCAATTTGATAAGGTAATATATGTGTGTGTGCGTGTGTATGTGTGTATGTGTGTATATATATATATATAAGGGGTGTGCATACGTATATGATTGAGGGGCGTTGCATTTAAAATTTGATTCAGTTCAACTCTATGAAGTCATCTTTTAAATCAAAAATGATTTTTCCAAATTCAAATCTTTTTTTTTTTTTTACACCCCTACCTGATACTATGAATCCTCCCCATTAATTTAGGGATGCACTTTTGACGAAATGTCATTGACTGACTGATGGGAAAATACCATCCAATACCATACACAATGTTGTTCGGTATTTCATAAAGAACGAGGCACTGCAATAGGTTGGAAAATAGCAAAACATTAACCAACTTTATTTAGTCATTCATTTTCGATGGCGCTGGTCCTAAAAAGGGTCACGAGTGAGCCAGAGCCTATTCCAGCTGTATTTGGAATCGAGACAGAGTACCCGTGCTACTCCAACCAATCACAGGGCACAACAATCAACCACTGACACTGATATTCAGTCCTATCGAGCATTTAAAGTCTTCAGGGAACCTCATATTCATGTTTTTGCAATGTGGAACAAAGGAAGAGAAGAACAGGAATGCCAGAGCCCGCGTCGCATTGACTCACCCACTGAGCACCACAATGAAATCCATGACGTTCCACCCATTCCGAAGGTAGGAGCCTTTATGGAATACGAAGCCCAGGGCGATGATCTTGATTCCCGCCTCCAAACAGAACATCCCAATGAAGTAAGGCTCGGTCTTCTCCTATTGATGCAAAGCAAGGGAAAGAGTTTTAATCAACACCACAATCTTTAAGTGTAGTTGAATGTTTACGTTATGCCTCACCAGTCTCTTTGACATTGGTGTTTTGTCCTCTCCGGGTAAGTGTTGCTCTAGAGCCAGGACGATACAGTTGGCGATGATGGTGGCGAGGATCATGTACTCAAACGGAGTGACGGGAGGAAGTTGAGGAAGTGTATTCATTTAAGGCAGGCAACAAAACATAGTCAATAAACAAATGAGATCCAATACAAGAGCGGTATCTAAAACGATGCCTAAAATGAACTAGAATGGTTTACCGTCCGACCCAGTTGATTGAACAAGTCATCAAGTGTCGGGTGATACAGTCCCACTCCAGTCCAGCAGGAGCAGTAACGTGCGCTACAATATTTTTTCATGACAGTTTTATCTTGGAATGTAGTTGCCCCACTTTAGTATCAATCCCAGGGCTTCAGAACTTTGAGGCAGGTGTTCTTACGACTAGGTCTCCTAAACATATCGCAAAATCAATACCTCTGACTGTGTCAATCAAAATTGAATACAAGGGTTTTTGTCAAGGCAAAATGTACAGTATAAGCTCTTATTATTTTGTGAATGCGTACCTAATATTTTGTGTAGTGAGTGTCTGAGACCCGGTTAATTCCCGTAAGTGCATTCAGGTGTATGTAACTGGTAACCACACGTTTCATACCACACTCAGCTCATATGTCACGCCCCAATTATTCCTTGCTCCCTTCAGATACCGGCTGCTAATGTAGTAAGTCACATTGGCACCGCTATTACAAAGTCATTATTGTAAGCTAGCGACAGCAATGCTGTTACTGTCCTTCGGTAGAATATGTAAAAGAGGACAATGAACCAGCCTTGTTATGAACCCACGCATGTTGAGACCTTATTTGAGCTGCAAAACCCACTGAAGTTGTGTCCCTCAAACTTCACACTCTGTAGAAGAGGCAGAAGCAAGGAATGAAGAAAGGCGGCATCAACGAGATAATAGGGAAGGAAAGACAGACGAGAAGGTGATCGGGACAGAGGAGATTGGCTGATGCCTGCGAAACGAGCGAGTGAGGAGGAGGAGGTGGAGGAGGAGGAGGAGAAGAAGTGGGAGGCAATGAGACCAAATTAGGCTGACACCGGACAGATCAATATCGCTCGGCTGGTGATACCCAGCGGGTTTACTCGGGGGCATTTGAGCAATGAGAGGCTGAACACAAAAAGAGCCAATACAAATGTTAACACCCGGCAGCTCTCACTTGAACCCGGGGCCGCTCGGTACATTACGTTATAGCTCAGGGGGGGCTGCAACACATTTGCGAGGCCATCAGCGAGCAGCAGACAAGAAAAAAAGTCTTCATGACATAATAGCCGCATCAGCATGAGGTGCTGTCTTTTTTTTCTTCTTCTATTTTTCATCTCACGCCGATAAGATAAATGCTACCTCCGTGTCCTTAAACAGCAGTCAACAGGAGGGAGCGACGGAGAGAGATGTAATGGAGGGAGGAAGTAAGGGAGGGGGGGGAACAAGATGGAAGGAGGTATCCACGGCAACAGGTTTATCTTGGAGCCAAAAATCAATGCCCCGAGGTGCTTACTGGGGCAGTGTAGTGTCTTTTCTCTTTATTTTTCTTTGATTAGTTTTAGTCTATGTAACTGCTTGAGCAGGAAACTGGAATTAAAAAAAAAAAATCATAAATATGAAGAGGGTCGATTATAATGTCAGAGAAAAGGCATGGGACTTTCCCAGAATATTCTATGGAAACGTGTTGATTCAGAGTCTCTCCCAGGACAGTTTTCCTGTTAGTTTTTTTTTTTCAATCTGTTCCTGATCCTTCAACACCAAGTGAGTTTCTTAGTTTAACAACTGAACAAAGATGTTGGCTTTCTGCTCATCCACCCGCCCAGCTGGGGGACCCTTCAGCCCACCTTGGCGGTTTCCAGTGACATCACCATCGAAGCTTTCTTCTGTGATTACATGTAGAGTTTTAATCACTTAATCAACAAAATGGGATGAAAAAAAAGGCAAGAGGCTCGAGGCCAAAGGTGTCCCCGATCATGTTTTTTTAAAAGGGAAAATTGACTTCTTTAATTACATTTTACAAATGGAGTTCTACCATGACATTCATTTGACAAGCTAATTTTTTTTTTCCTGTGAAGCTGCTAACACCGTTTTGTTGCTCATCAAATACATTTCCCCTCATTAAAATCGTCATGATAACGAAATCTGTTATCAATAGTGGTCCAGCAAGAGATGAGCCAAAATGAGAACTGGCTCACTTTAATCAGAAGGTACACACACATTTCAGCCAGACAAAAAAAAAAAAATGGGGTGTAACGTGTACTACAGTATGAGGCATTTTGACGATAGCGTGTCATCGATTTGTTTGTGAGAAACTGTTTTAAATTGTGAAAACAAAATGCACGTTTCCTTTGTAAACCTAAATGTGTTACATTGTGCCGAGATTAGAAAAACATTTCCAGTACGTTGAAGTTTAACAAACTCAACAATGAAACACTCCATTCTTCCCTGAGTGCTGCGGTCTCACGTCTTGTGCAGATTCATCAGTCACGCGCCTCGTGAGCGATCCTGTGAGTCACACCGATGCTCGCGCCGTGCCACAATTCCTCAAAACACGTATGTAAAAATAGACACAAGGACGGGCCACAGAGACGGGCCGCGATGACGGGTGCAACCGTCAATATGCCGAAGCTCCAGCTGGCATCCACACACTGAGATTCTTAAGGTGAAAGTAGAGAGGGAATTGATGGCTTCTGAGCCTCACGGAGTGGAAACAATGGAAATGGAAAGAGGCGGACAACAACTTTCAGCTAATGATAGTGAGGCTGAGCTATTGAAAAAGAGCGTGACATTAAGAATGATTGCAACTTAAACGATGTAGCGTTAACTATATTTGACACAGTCATCCCCTCCGACGCATCACCTTCACACATCAGCGGGTTGCTTCTGAGAATCAATTTGGAAGATAAATGCAGTCACCCATCAGTCAGACAGCTCTGTAAGTCAAAGTCAACCCTTGCGTAAATTCTCGCCAAGAAAAAAAAAAGGGGAAACGTCCTTAGAGTAACAGGAACATCTCCCTTTAATTTGCTCGGATATAGATGAACAAATTAAAATTTTTGACATAGGAAAAATGGAAATAGAACTAACTAGAATTTACTGGATTTAGGAAACACACTTTGGGTATAATTGTCTCCCCAATAATATGAGATGGGACCGACTCATGAAGGAGAACGAAGCACAGTACTTCCATGGTCCACCACTAGATGGCGGCACATTTTTGGGGGACACTAAATTTGACAGAAGAAGAATGAAAACAGGAAGTAATTCAAATCAGCCTAGTTTTTGCTGTCACATTCTCTTTCATCCAGCTTTCTCACTCAGGGAAGGCGACAGCTGTAAGGTTATTTGTGAAATGGGAAACTAAGTTTCTTGGTTTGGAAAACAATGACATTTGTTAACTTTAAGGGGAACGGATCACTGTCGTTAAATTGCCTTGTGATACTTCAATGCTTACACTTAATTTTGAAGAGAGAAAAGAGATTTGTTTGTCTTTGTTGTGAGTGTAGTCCAAAAGCTGAAGATGAAATTGAATGATTATAACATTAGCTAAACCTTAAAACCTTTTCTGCAATGACTTTATATAAAAATATAGACAAAGCACAATATGTCTGCCGTGTTTATGGGATGTGATATGGCAGGATTCAACTTTTTTTGTGGGGGCGAGGGGGGTATGAGACATTTCATCAAATTCTGTAGTATTTCACACTATTCTGTATATTCACATGAGAATACATTGGGTTAACTCTGCTCTTCAATAAACAAAAATAGACTAATTTGTCACACTGAACATCATAAAACAGCAAACCTATATGCTTACATTTGTGGAAAATAATGCAATGAATAATGACATGTATCAATGATTTTAAGGTGAAGCCTCTCAATGGGGTACTTCCTACTTGAGGGAGACCCAGGGGGGATCAAAAAGGAGGAGCAGCTGTCAGTCTTCACTCGGTCTTCAATGCAAAAATTCATCCCGGGTGTTTGGTTAGAGCTACTTCCTCTCAGCATTACCACCAACATCAGACAGATAAGCCTTCAGTCCTTGCCCACAGACAGATCTGTTCTCATATGCCTAATTATGTCGAATAAAACAAGTCATATAATTATGTTCACTCCTATTTCAGAAAAAAAAGATCTGAAGATGTCACTCATTCATTTCAAGGAACACTATTTAAATTTGGACCAAAGCTAACATGTGTCGATCCCATAGGGGTCCATATATTATCACCAAGCCAATATTGGCAATCATCATTGCTCTCGAGGGCGATCTGAGTCTCACGTGTAGCAAAGATGGAGCTTGAGTAAATTGGGAGCAAATAGGCGCTTTCCTTATTCTTTGGATTTTGGTAATACTGTACCGCAAAAGGAGGTGTAGCCTCTGCAAGGGTGTATAATAGTGTAAGGAGAACAGTAGAGCAAGTAAGCAAGCAATGTATTTTAAATGTATGAGCTAACCGTATCATACAGTGAGTGTCAATGGTATATGGCACAGCGATCAGATATCGTTCCATATAATTCTTCTTAATATCTGTTCATCGTGCACAGGAGAGCTCATTAGATGAAACAGGACACTCCCTCCCGGGTAGCACATGAACCTGCACGTTGGTCAGTGTGCTTGTCTGTCACGACAGCGTATACAACACTTTGATTTAAAGCAAAATGATATTGTGACGATGGCGCAAATACTTTCATTGGTTGATAAAACAATCGCGTTAAATTCAAAACCATTTTCCTCATTGCCTGTTGATTAGTATACATTTGAACTCTATTTTTAAACATGCCGATGAAAGGGGAAATTCAGAGGAAACAACAATGGATGACAGCTCACAACAGAATGCTTTTTTTTTTTTTTTTTTTTTTTTTTTTAAAGCCAGTAGCGGGCCATTCAGTTATTCACAAGGCTGCTGTTTTGAGCACAACAATAGTGGACAAAAGGCCACACCTGGTCCGGACACCTGGCGAGCTGTACCAGAAACACACACACGCACGCACACCAATCCCGATTAGCATGTGATCACAGATGGAATAATAAAGTTGCTTCAAGGGTAGTAAAAAGGAATAAATACACACCAATATATAATGTAATAATAATCTACTCTCCAAAGGAGCGGCTGTGTGTTTGAGGCATTGTATATAACCCGTAAAGCAAGCGCTGTAGAGCTGTGTAGGATTTATTTTCACTGAGTCACTATGCACACAATGGAAGCATCCACCCTGCAGAATCATAATGGCACCACCCATTTGACCATTGGAAAGAGGAAGAAGCCTGCTAATGTACACAAATACATCAGCTGGATAGATATCATAGAGAGACAGACAGAGACAGACCGACAAATAGATGCTTTCCTCATCCCGGAAGTAATTCTTATGGGTTGTATTTGCAGTGGTGAAGAACTGAACAGTGGAGATTTGTTTGTAATATTTCCGAGTATTTTGCTCCCTCACGTTCAATCACTAAATAACGTGAACACATTTTTACGACAATGATGCAGACCAGCCAAAAACATGCGTCTTATAATAAAGTCATTATGAGTTATTCTTACACTAGAATAAACTTCTGATCGTATTTGGATTTGAATGTCACTTCATATTTCAGCATTTATTTTAGTGGTGAAAAAGTTATTCCTATAAATTTAAAATCCTCATCGTGGGTGCGCTGAAGCATATTCCCGCTGACTTTTGCGAGGGTGGGGTGAGGGGGACAAAAACATTGACTTTACATAATTCCATAGCTTTGAAACAGAAGAACAAGGCACATCGATCGAAATCTGGTGGGATTTTAGGTCAAAAAACAAAAAACAAACAAAAATAATGCATTTTTATAGGTCAAGATTTGCAAATTTCCTGGTTTGCTTGCAAAAAAAAAGATTCATTTCCCATCCAATGCCAGTCCCAAACCCACTAGGTCAAAAAACAAAAAACAAACAAAAATAATGCATTTTTATAGGTCAAGATTTGCAAATTTCCTGGTTTGCTTGCAAAAAAAAAGATTCATTTCCCATCCAATGCCAGTCCCAAACCAAAAAAAAAAAAAAAAAACCTGTGTCAAACAAATGGTGTGAGTGACTCAATGTGGCGTAACCAGTCCAGGCAGTTCCCCATCTCTCCCCTAAAGTCAGCTGGGATAAGCTCCAGCTCACCCACGGCCGGAGTGAGCGTAAGTAAAATAGAAAATGGATCAATGGTAACAGAACACCATCCACAATACATTTTAGTTTTTTTCATATGGCACATTGTGATTATGTGCATGTGTGTGTACACTCCTTAAATTCACTTCCTAAACTAATACGACCGACACCACCGCAATCATACAACCACAATGAGTATTCTTATATTAGTGCAGGCTACATCTCTAAAAGTGAGCATCACTATGTTTAAGAAGGGTGTTTGGTTCCTATAGTGGATCCCACCACAGCGTGCAAGCGTACCTAATAAAGTGGCCGGTGTGATCGATCGTCCATGCTATCCATGGTGCTGAATTTTACGCGTTGCTTTGCGTCATCTCTTGTCAACAGCTTTAATCAGTTATTTCTTCATAAAGTAGTTGACATATTGTTCGATATATCGCGCTAAAAATGCGCATTAATATGTTTGACAAGCCTGGTCAATTTGGGTCAAAGTGGATCCCATCAGAGTGTGCGTGTGTACCTAATAAAGTGTCGATGCAATACCGGTGCTGAATCTTACGCATGGTTTGTGTTGTCTCTTGGACCAGTTTGTAGTAGTTAATGATTTTGTTCGGACATTGTCACGCTTTCAAAGCAGCATAAAAGGATATGGCCACTCAGTGATTTTCTTGGCGTACTTGCGGACCTCGTTGTCCTCCCCAAAGATGAAGAGAGACCTGTTGACGGTGAAGCAGTTCTCCCGGACGGGGATTCGGTTGTACAAGGCCATGGCGCGGGCACGCTGCGCTTTGGTCATCTTGAAGGCTGCGGGGGACACGCCACCTGTGGACGCGGCCGCCCCATCGCGGCTCCTGTTGCGGTCCGAGCCGCCGTCGCCGGTGCTCAACAAGACCGGAACGTCGTCACCGAAGCGGGCCATTCTGTCCAGGCAAAGAAGAAGAAGGACGAGGAAGAAGCAGGCAATGAGGGAGGGATGAGTCGGATCGAGGTGATTAAAAAGGGCGCGGTGCTGCGCTCGATTGCTGTCCGTGACCAATCAGTCCATTATTAGTTTCCGCCAAGAAAAAGACACGAAAACATCTTCAGCTTTGTCTTTTCGTGCGGTCAAAAGAAAAAAAATTAAAGCAGCAAGTTGACCACACCACTTTCCACTGCTGTGCGTAAAACCAAAACGTATCCTACGCACGCGCGTTCAAAATCCACGCGCACCCTTAAAAATCCGTAAGAAGCGGCAACAGGTCACATCGAGTTGAAGATATTTGAACTAACCTCGTGCCCAAAACGCACTGGAAGAGAAATAAACTTTGGCATTTCTCCCCCAAAATAAGCGAGACGAAATGCATTGGCAGGGAGGGAAGCCACCTCTCCTGCACTCTTTCTACGCGCACACACAAAAAAAAAAAAAAAAAAAAAAATCAGGAGACGGGACCTGCACGACGTGTCTTCATGCAAATTACCATCACGCCCACTTTCCCTGGTCCAAAATCCAAATGCACTTTGGCTTAGCAACGAATATGCAAACAATTACTGTACATGAAGACCCAATGCAAAAGAAACCTTTGGATGTTCTATAAAGACGTGAGGAGGTTGTTTGATTTTTTTACACCGCATACACGAGACCACAATAAGCCAAATGTCAAAAATACATTTAAAAAAATAAATAAAATAACAACAGATAAAATAAAACCAAGATGTTACGATTGCAAATATATTACATTCAATTCTGCATAGTGAACACAGCTCGCATATCAAGGAATTAATCACTTATTATTTCCTTAACGATGTGAATGACAGCATTAATTGTGTGTCAATTTACAGGAAGGCCAGAGCCGGAATCGAACCCTGCGCCTTTAGACTCTGAGGCCGACGTGATAACCAATCGATCACCGTGCCACTCCAATGGTAATATTTGATTCATATAACATCAGACAAGAAAAGGAAAAAAAAACATTCAGCTTTGATTGAGGAATGAAATCACAATGTAGGCCACAGTAATCCCCAACCATGAATGGTACACTATTCGTGATCCTCCATTATTTGCTGAAAAACGTACCCATTTGTGTTTTGTGCTCTTTTTGAAACACCTAAAGATGCCACAAGATGGCAGCAAATTCCTATCTAAATAGGAAAGTAGTACATTTTGTCTGAGGGCGTATTTTAACCCTTTGGGGGACAACGGTTACTACAGTGGACAGCCAAGCATGTTATCGGGTTACAGGTTATCATTATTGGTGTAGCATCAGCAAAAAAAAACAAAAAAAAACATTCTATGTATTATTGTGTTCATATCTTTTATTGATAATAAAATATGACTTTTACTGTATCTGTCATCACTTATCTCTAACGATTCACGTCAGTACATGCAGAGAAGACACAGGTGGCTAATTTCAGAGTTGCTGTGGCCTCTTCCTCGTTAGCACGCCAACATTCAAAATGGAATATGACTTTTTCCTCGCAGGTAGATGAGAGGAACACCATCCACAACAGGTCCCCCGGGATGCAAGTGTAATTGAAATGAGAGTAAAGGATCGCGCTACATTGTCCTCATGTCAGGCTGAGAGTGTGCAGCACTCGCAGCTTTTTTTGGTTGAAAGGTGAAGAGGTTATTATGGTAATTAAGTGTTGCCGACGGGAATGATTAAGGACTATGGAGGATGTCTACATCCTGGGGAAATTGGCAATGAGCAAAGCATTTGTAGCCTCTTCCATGCATATTGATTGTTGGAGTCGATTTTTTCTACCTCTTGCTATAACAAATTGGCCTTTTCTGACAGCTGAATGGGACTTTGGTGTGTTTAAGCCGTTGTGTCATACACTGCGAAATTTTGGAGGTAATCATATCAATTTGAATAGATGTGAGGTTGTGAAAATGCCGTCTCCCTGCCGCAAATTTATATTTCATTCTGCAACCACGCTCATACACACTCGTAAATCTTTTCTGAAAACTGTTTGGGTTATTTTTGACCCAACTGTTTTTGGACTTTACTAAATGAACACATATGAATTGTGAGGGCTCCACTGAATATTTTCTGAAATACAATTCACAACAAAATAAGATTTTTATTTTTATTTCTTGTTTTGTTTTGCAATCAGTTGCCCACAACCGTGACAGGTACTATGGAAAACAGATAAAGGAATAAAACTATGTGACTGTTAACGAAACTGCAGGTCTTGTCACTTGTATATTTTAACAGGTAGGATGGGGTTTGACACAAAGTTGTGACGTCAAAGAAGGAATGTATCTGTGTGTGTTTGTGTGGTGTCAACACATGTTCATCTGCGTGGCGGACATGATGACAAGCACGGATGAGGCTGACGCTGTGCAGATAAGCAGAAGATTTTGTTTTCATGTTTTTTTTTTAATTGATGTACTTTTAAAATGGACTAATTGTAATTAAAATAATGTGAGTAAAATAATTATTATTATATACAGGTGTATATATATATATACATGGTGTCAGGAAGCATAGATAGAGAGAACTGAGTAAATTATTTTGAAAACTATTTTACATATTTTAAATATGCATTTGAACTTTCATCCCCCCCACCTCATCTACAAATGGTCTGCCCATTTTAAAACAACTGATGGCCACCGAGCACAAATGTCACTCCATCGTTGCATCTGACAATGTCTTTTAAATGCTTTAACCTCATTGCTGATTATTTCTTGCCTGATTTGAACTTGGTCAGTTTTTCAAAAACTGGCCCTTTCAGCTAAGGCTAATCGGGAAAGTTTTTTTGAGCTTCACATTGTGTATACGAACCCGCTGTCAAAGTAGTTTCCATAGCGACGACACAGGGGAAAGGTGCAAAATAGGTATCCTCGTTCCACATTTCATGAGAATATATTGCGATACAAGGCAACTTGGATGCTTCGATATACAGTTCAGTAATTTTATTCATTCATGAATGTATCTTTATCAAACAAATTATCAATAGGCTACATTGCAACACCTGATTAATTAGTTTATTTGTTTAAACACTCAAACACTTTATAAGGTACATCTGGAAATCTAATACATTTCGGTACACACGTCAATCAGCAATGATCAGGTTTAATATGATTTGAAATATTATTTTTACTCCACTGTCCTTTGGGAATCATAAAGTGTTCAAAACGTATCTCTGTGTGAATGGTCAATTAAAATAGTAGATGATTACATTATGACCTCCCGAACAGCTTCAATCATCATGGAGCATTAAAGGCATATTATTTCATGCATCGAGTGTTGGAGCTCATTAGACTACGCAGGTGGCCAACCTTTAGAAGAGGAGCCTCATTCATTTTTGATCATATCTAACACGGTGTTCAGATGTGGCACAGTGGCCAACTGGTTAGCACAACATGCTGGTTCAAATCTTTGACCTAATGTGCTTGCTATAAATAAACCCAGCATTAACTCTGTCCCTTTTGGACCCACCGCTGCAGCTATTTCACCCGATTTGGGTTACTTTCAATACAGCACTTTTAAGTGTGTGCACTTGTAGGCTACAATCTAAATTGAAATTGATGCAAAGATAGATAAAATACAGCATTTTAATCTGTACCGCAAAAATAAACAAAGGTCAGTTACTTGATATGGAGTCAATCAACCTCTGTCAAATTTCACACAGGCGTCAAATACACAGAGCGAATCCTAAAAATCCACTTGAGGTTTGAACAAAGTAGCAATGAGTCACAAGAGCATGTCTGCTATTCTTTGTTTTGCTCATTCAGATATTGGTTTCACTTATTATGAGCTCCAGCTCTCCTTGTCAGCAACTCTCCAAAGAATACATGATTGAATTTTTTCTCCCCCCTCCTTGCGTCAAACTGAGTAAATCTGCTCCTGCTCCTCAGACGCATATTGGAAGCAGCACTGGAGACGACATTCTCCGAAATGTGTATTTCCTTCTGCTTTGTACTCCTCAATTTAGAAAAAAAAAAATGTGGCTTTGTTAACTTCGCCGCAAACAGTACATCGGTTAAAACTTGGCTTTCCAAAGCCACATTCGTTTGTCGGTCACTATACGAGTCCTTGAATTTTTCTGACGCACCTTGCAAACAATGATGAAATAAAAAATATCAACCATTTTTTAAATTAGGACTCCTATTGCATATAGCGGTCAATACAAAGCTTCCTGTACTTTGGTTTGATTCCATCAACAGATTATCATATAGTGAAGGTAAAGAGAGGTTTGTGAGCATTTGGAATCGTAAAAGATACGAAATGATGTGATGGAAAATGAAAATGACAAAAATAAATATGGACCTTCACGGTTCAAAGTAAACATGGTGAAGCGGCATTTCACTGTTATGCCGCATGCAAGCGGAATAAACTGCCAATGGAAGTGAAGTCAGTTTCGAGTGTCAGTGCTTTTGAATCCAGATTAAAAACTATGCATCCAACCCATGCCTTTGATTTTAAAATCAATGTCACTGGACTGTCTTGATCATTTTAGAATTCTGTCTTTAGATCTTTTTTTAAGGTTTTTATATGCTGTCAGTATTTGGTCTTTTAGTCATTTTGGAAAGTTACTTTTGTTTTCTCTGCTTTGCTTTTAAACATCTTTAGTGGGTTTGTATGTAAATGCGAAGCACACTGAGTTGCCTTGTGTATGAAATGCGATTATATAAAAAGCTTACATTCCTTGTCTTCCCTTAAAAATTCATACTACCACCAGATTATGCATAATACATTTAATACCTACTTTATAATTAAGACAGAGCAGTGCCATTATTTTCTATAGCTGGAGCCTACCCCAGGTACAGTAGCTAGCTTTAGCGAGGAGCAGGATAAGGTGACCAGGTTACAAATGTATTTCAGCTATCAAGTCACAATGTAAGACAATTGGTGTTATTTGTCAATGAAGATACTGTAAAGTTTTCAAAAAAGATTAGCCGTACTTCTCCTGGTTTTAGATACCAACCACTTGAAGA